CACTGTTGTAGTCAAAAATCATGCCTGCAAGTAACATTCCAATGGAACAGCTTAGATCAGGGGTCTCCAAACCCCGGCCCGCAGGCCAAGTCCGGCCCGCGGAGGTCTTCCGACCGGCCCATGGCTGGCTGCAGTCCTCCCAATGGAGCCCGACCCACTTCCCGCTTCCAGCACGCCCGCTGCTACTGGCGAAAAAATAAATGCGTGTAAAACGGCGCCGCGGCGCGCACCAACCATGTAAACGAAGTTACCAGAAAAAGAAAAACGAGAGAGAACTGCCTACTGTAAGGAGTGTCCTCTGGTCATATTAGTAATTGGACATTGTCATTAGCAGAATCCACACTTCTAGTCCTCTGTTCCATATCTGGGTAACTAAGTACGTTAAGATTAATTTACGTCCCTATGTATACTGTGCTTGGTGTACTGTGTCGTTGCTATTAAATATTGTCAGCATAACTTCTATCGCTCTCACTGGTCTTCTGCCCTGTGTGAACGTGCCAAAGTTCCTATGCGCTGTGGTTCATGCTGGTATGTTTTCTGGGCTCAGATTATTGCATGATGTCATAAGCAGCTAAATTATTAAATTTCATAACAAAGTGAATGCATTCATCCAACTTAGAATTTTTTTGTTTTATGTTTACTCTCACTTTAAATATTGTATATTTAAATGCTTAGATATCTTAAGATTATTTATTTAAATTCTCCTCATTTACATCTGCCCATTTATATTTCCGGCCCTCGAGACAGAGACAGAGCCTCAATCCGGCCCCTATGCCAAAAAGTTTGGAGACCCCTGGCTTAGATAATAAAATATAGTGCAGCATGCCTCCTTTAGGGACTGGGAGCCTTGATTGTGCCTTGTGACAGCTAATAAAGTTCTCTCTGGCTGGCTTGTCTGCTTTTGGCAGACATGACAGACAGCACATAGATGTGTCACCGTTCAAATGCTCCATCAGCTTAGTGAGCACCTAGCTTTTCTGCTGTGCCGGGCAGTGGGCAAATAACTGCATGAAATTTAGTGTTGATAATTTTTATATATATTTTTTATTGATGTAACAATTAAAATCTCAAGACGAAAAGACACTGACATGTCTGCTAATATACTGCATTTCTTCATTTGGTTTGTTTAGGAGAAAATTGCATTGCTCCTCTGTTTTGTTTAACACCTCACTGTGCACGGCATTCATCTCAGCACTTGGCATCTCTTATAATTAAGCAAAGAACGACGTTCCACAAAATGACTGATCATTTCTAATATTTGCGTCTTTATTTTTAATAAAATTTTAGCTTGCTGTAATTTTGTAAGCCTGCTGGAATATTTTTTTACCTGTGACTACGAACAAATCTTGTGCTGTATCATATTGCTGACATGGATGCTCCAGAACACACAATGAGTGTTGCGTAAAGTGAGAGAGTACTTTGTTTTTCAAGCACCACCTGGGTAACCTAAACATTCTTAAAATTTTTGAGGCAAGAATGAATTGGAACAAAGTATAGCATTTAAAAGAAGACAACAAGGTGCTGTCACATCTTTCACAGAATAATAGGCTGCATTAACAGTTTTTGTTATATTTAAATCCAAAGCAATTAAGTCAGACCGAAAAGACGAAAGTTGAGCAGGCAATTTCTTACATTTAAAATTGCCAGTTATAATTTATAGTGTTTAAAATCTCTCTTGGGCAGAGCTGGTAGTTCAGAGAAGTTGTGCAATTCAAACTTGCAAGAATATCTCTACAATAATTGCAAGACTGGCAGTTTAGTGAAAGCTCCTTTAATAAATATATCTGTTCTCTAATTTAGACTTTGTTTTGATACCATGATGTTGGTTACTGTGTAACGTGGTCAGACATTGTTTAATGCAGTGTTCACATACATTAGATTTCATACCTTATTGGTTATGTGACGGGGAGGCTATTATAGAAACGGAATCGTGACATGCTGGAAGTTGCATGTTGACAAAGGTTGATCTTGAGTGCTATTTTTGGTCTTACTACTAGAAATAACTCTCTTCCACTCTTGTAAGATAAAGAAACATTCTACTTACTTATAAGGACAGATTTATATCATGATTATGTGTTCATTTCATTTATTTTTTCAATGGCAAGAACCAGTCTGTCTCTTTTATAGATATGTACCATATTCGCATTTCTTCATTAGCTGCAGGCTCCAGAATCAGTTATAACTAAGGTTGCCTACTAGGTGTACAACACACTTGCACCGAGGTTGCCCAGGGTTAATGCCCCGTGCTTCGTGTTCTCGTATGTGTAGCGTGTTGGCTACAAATTAATTTGCCTTTTTGTAGCAGTGGAGGGATTAAAGCGGCAGTAAAGTGGTTTCTGGGATTATTTATCTATGGTCATACCTCAATCTATGGGCTCTAATCATTCTAAAAGAAAAAGACCAAGGTTAGATTGATACGCGTGCGATTTCTCTACTAAAACGGGATTGAAGATCGTGACAGGCCTGTTTTTCTACAATTTGGCGCAGAAACCAGAAGGTGCCGTCGGGCATGAGCGAATCGAGAGCGATTGCGTTCCACGCGGCAAAGGGCGCCGACCAACGACGGGCTGATTTTTGAATGTGTGGGATTTGCGCGTGTAGGAAGCGATCCCTTACAGTTGACTGTCCCACTTCCGATGGCACCCTCTACTTTTTGCACCGAATCGCAGAAAAACGGGCATGTCACCATCTTTGATTTTGTTTTAATAGAGAAATTGGTTGCGTGTTGATCTAATCTTTGTTTCTTTTAGAGTGCTTTATGCATGTAGATTGAGTAATGACAGTGAATAGACGGTCTCAGAAACCACTTTACTGCTCCTTTAAGCAGTTAGATGAGTATCGTTATGCCGAGGTGAAGAGGAAACAAATCCACTTATTGTTGCACAATGAGGTTGAATAATGCTTGCATTATTGAAGCCCATCCTCAATGGCGTAGATAGGGAGACCAAACAAGTTTATCAAATCAGTATGTTATAACCGAGTGTCTTCTGCAACCAGATCTATTGTAACGAGGTTCAACTGTACTACGTCGCCCACAGGACGATTGACCAAAATTGACGGCGCAGTGCAAGTTTGTGAGTAAAAGTTGCGTGAAAGCGTATTTTCTCGAAACAGTGACTTTTTTTATTGGTTCTTTCTTGTATTTGCGATTGAGTTGGTTGTCGCATTTTTGTTGGCGACGCTGACCTTCGTTGGTGATGCAGTTTACATCGGCGATTGAATCGGTTGACACACCATCGCCGCCAGCGTCACAACGTCCACATCAACATTTGCATCCCTTGCCGCGTCTTCGGCAACAGCAGTTTACTTTGTCGGCAGCGGTAGGCTTTGACACCTGATTCCGTGGAAAGCAAATATACCAGGAACTACTTGTTGCATCAAGACGCGGCAACAACCAGAAACGTTCGGAATGTTTAGTCTGCCGTAACTGCTTGAGCCTAATCTTGTTTTTTTTTTGTTAAGTGTTTTCTCCTCCCCCGTCATTTCGTAGCGATTACCTAGTTGCTTGAACAACGATATCACTTGGGACAGAAAAAAAAAGGAAATATGGAAGAAGAGAGTACCCAAATCCCAGAATCGTTCATACGCCTCGCCCAAATAGTCTCATAAAAAATAGTTTTGTTTGTATGCTCGTTGCTAGGTTCTTCTTAAAGGGATACCACAACGAAATTTCGGCGCTTATTTTATGGTTTATATGTGTTCAAAGGAGCAGTATCACATCGAACACACCAATATCTTGTTAAAATAATCACGAAAAGGAATTTTAAGACGAATTAAACGATTAGCAAAGAGCACATGGTGGATGTCGCTAACGCCTCGTTTGTAATGCCCGTCTAGGAACCTTGACAGCTGGCGACGGTGAGTGTCTCGCCTCTGGCCACGACGAGAAAAGAGGGGAAGGAGGAACTCCCGTCTTCCCAAGAATTCCCTTTGTGTGTTCCAGAAGTAGCTATTGTCCGCCTACAAGATTATAAAAAGATTAACCTGTCACTCACAATTTGTACAAAAGCAGCCGCTTCGGTGGCTGGAATGACGAAGCCATCCTCTCGAAGTCAGCCTCGCCGTAGTTTTGCTCGTCCCGAGACGACCTACGTCACGATTGCGTCAGATGTCACGTGCTCTAAGCTGGGCCTTCTCCGAGCGCTTGCTAGAGTGGGCCGTTTATAACAAAAAATACAGCTACCAGGCTCAAAATACAAATGTGCGATTGTCATTTACGGATATTGTGGATCATATTCAACCTATTTTTGAACACGACTGATATATTTCAAATTTCGTTGAAGTATCCCTTTAATGCGTGGGCGCTTGTAATGGGTGTTGGTGCACACACACATTCTTCTGCACAGTGACGCCAGAAGTATATCTTGAGGTGGGTAAAGGGGGGGGGGGGGGGGGGTGCAGTATTTGTAGTAAATTTGCTTTGCAAATATTACAATCAAAGTTTTGTTCACTATCCTTGTGGGTTCTTTTCTTCCTTTCACTACGTCATGTGCAAGTGCCTGCCGCCCGGCATGATGTGATGAGTGCCAAGCTCGAGATGACTTCATTCATCTCGAGTTTGGTGCGCCCACATAACTGACTGTTGTTTATATAAATACATTTTTGTTGACAGCTGTATTTTTGCAGCAGAAAAGGAAACTTCATATTTTCTCTGAGGTCATCCATCACATTATTCCGCTTGCACAGTACTGCGCAGCAATAAAATTGCATCTAGAGAGCTGTGCAATGCGGTTGCTACAGTGTGCTGGGCTACTGGCCCGCGCCACTGTATCTCTCTTCAGGGCGGTCACCTAGAGTCACTGAACAGGAATAGTGACACAGTATTCAGTGGCACTAGCCCCGCTGGTAGCGGCACACTTAAACATGCCCAGCGGTCGCGCATTGTTCGAAATTGGCGCCGATAGATGGCGCAGCATTGGTGAAAGGGTCTATTGTGGTCTGTGTAGAAGATGAATAGTATCTCTCACATGGTGTTAAAATACTTTCTTCTCCTTTCGCAGATAAAGTCAAAGCTCCGGCCAGGCCCTGATGCCCAAGCGCTTGCCAAGTGATGCTCCTAAGAAGGTGCTCGAGGCTAGGATGTTATCAGCAGCTGCAACTGGCGACTCCAGGAGTTGTGGCAGGATGTCCGGCCTCTGTCGCAGCCACTTCTACAAGGTCCTGGCGGTCATTCTGGTGGCTTTCCTGCTCTTTGAGTACAGCTTTAACCTGCTGGCCTACCCTCAGAAGACAACCCGGGTTGTTCCCTCAAGCATCTCGTGGATGTTTGGGCCTTCGTCGGGTGCAGACTCGGACGTTTTCAATGCCAGCTTTGGCAACAGGACTCAGAGTAGTGAGGGGAGTGCTGGGAACGGGACAGGCAAGAGAAACTCCAGTGTGGTTGCAGTGTCTACCGCCAAGTCCTTGGAGCTCTGCCCTCTAGTTCCTCCCAATTTAGGTGAGTGAAAAATGCTTGCTTCATTCTTTTACCATGCAGGAAGTAACCAGCTGCACTATGCCTCGTCCGAAATTGTAGTTATTTAAGGGAAGACACTGGTCTTCAGGATGGATTGGTAATTTTTCATCTGATATTGATGAAATACTTATATCTAGTTTAATTTGTGTGAGCTGAGCCCTGTGGGGAACGAAACAAAGAGAATAAAGATGGCTGAGAAGTGGGTGATGTGCAAGCGCACGGAGCCACTTGGTACATGAGCACCGTGAGAATTGGTGGTCATTTCTGAGTCTCCATGTTTGTCACCCAACATGGGGTGCCAAACGTGGAGTGTTGGAAATGGCTACCGATTCTCATGGGGGTGCTGAAGCTCTGACTACCAGACCATCGGGGCCAACGAGAGACCGTAATGACTCGAATCTGTCCGGCCCAAATAAACGAGTGCTGCCATGGTATTGTCATCAAGGTTTCCTCCCCCTCTGCCGTTTATCTGCTTCCATTGCTCAGCACTTGAGGCACAAGGAAAACCTACATAGACTACCTTTTTGAAGGGCTTCAACCTGAGTTCCAGGAATGTAAAGTTTACATTCAGTCTGTGATGCCCGTATTCGTGCCCGCAACTCAGACGGGATAACAAGCGCCCCTTCTCCGGATTGGGGGGTTGGAGGGAGGGTGAGGTTGGTGGAAAGGGGGAATGTGCGGTGAAAGGGAAAGAGAATAAATATAATAATAATAATAATGCTTTATTTTTTCTTGGTGCCCACAAACAGCTATGAAGCCTTTTGTGTGGTGCACTGTCAGTTGGTGTTTACAGCAATTAACACTTTTTAAAATGTACAAAAACATGTGAAAGGACATGAATACAAGTTTGTGAGACAAATACGACTCCTACACAAACTTTGAGTCAGGTAAATTACACTATTGAAAGGCTGATATAAATTTAGCAAAACCAAGGAAAATATACAATTCTCAATTACCTATGTTATTAAAAGCAGACTGCATACAATATAACGGGGATAATTCACAAACTCTCTTGGCATAAAATGTTAAAAACTGGTGACTAGTCTAGTGGGCACATGAAAGTCTATACTCTCAAGTAAGCTCTCACTTTTAACATGGCTGACAATCAGTGATGGGCAAGCACACGGTACCAGTCAAGAGCTTGAGCACTGTGAAAATTGGTAGTCAGTTCTGACTTTCCAGAGGACATCTATTACCTTCTTTTTTTTCGTATCAATTATAATTTCTAAGAAAATCGCAAGTTCGTGGTTAACGCATGTAGCCAACTTTTTTTTACGGAACCCCAATGGAAAATCTTGTCTAAGTATGTCATGTCTGCATACTTCACCAATAATAGGGAGGGAAACACTACCATTCTTATAATCTTAGGACTGTGGTAAAAAGGTAATGCATGTTGAAATTTCTTGATTGACAAGAGATTGGTAATTACAGTTATTGCCAATTAGAAAAGAAAATATTATAGCGCACATTCTTCAGAAGTCTGGACCTTGTTGCACTTTCCATTTTATGAGCTATGAATCATAAGCAATTTTTATTTAGGTTCAAGTTCTGGTTTTAAATACCTTGGCAATACCGGTCTACTGGTTACACAACTTTTCTGTAGCACTATAGAAGATTTTGGTATGCCACCACGCGCGGCGCTAGCATCGACAAGGAGGCTGAAAGAAGCCAATCCAGCCAGCACCGCTGGGAGTCTGGCAACCTGAAAGTGGTATTGGAATTTCGAACCCACTTGGAACAATCCACCAACAGACTGCAGTGACACGTCGTCGCACTGAGAGCGTTTCTCGTTAATGTGTTTGTCTTCAGCTCTCTACACTCGGTCAACTGACTAAACTTCCTTTTCAGCTACATTCTGGAAAATAATATAAGTTTTCATTCCTCTTCTTGCCTCAAAATTAATTTTCAATACCGCTATCACCGTCAAACTTCAGTGCTGTGAGTAGCGCCATCAAGTAGGAGCACTGTGAACCCGTACGCTAATTGTCTAGCTCGTTTTTGCTTGCAAAAACATTGTTTTGTGTGAAAACAAACAAGATAAGCCTATCTTTAAGCTCTGCTCTTGGAGATTGATGAAAAATGATTGGTTCTTGCACACAATGATCAATTACAGATGTAAAAAAAAAAAAAAAATGTCAGTGTATGAGAAATTATTTTTGAAAACTATTGCAATCGCAAATTTCGGGTGGCTCACGGAGTGAAGGGGCCAAATGAAAATGCTTCCTCAGGGACAGCGGTGCTCCTAGTGGCAGCTTTTTACCCTGTATGAAATTTCGGGACCAGTGGCATATTGAACTTTTGCAATGCTTTGTGTTTTGGGAACAAACATATTTTGAGAAAACAAGAAAACTTGAAATTGTTATGAACTGACAATACATTTAAAAGTAATGTCTCGTTCAAGATTCCTTTCTCTTTTGAGTGTATTACAGAAATATATAAGTGCCACCTGTCTACAATGCTTCACTAATTTGGTCAATGCATACAACTTCACAAAATTGTTTTGATGGTTGAAGATCACACCTCTAATGTGCGCTCATAGACCAACACGCCGCTCAGACAAGGCGCCGCTGTGGCTACGCCCCCGTCGGCATGGCGCTTGTGCAGACGCTTCAACCATTTCGGTTCTGCACACGCACAGTGCCCACACCTGGTATGGGCAAACGTGGGCTCGCTTGTAAACGGCCCATCGACCTATGCATGGTTAGTGCTGAACCGCTATGGGATATACCAGTTGCTGGTTAATTTTTCTAGTTTCAATTTGCTAATGAACTGAAATGTTTGTTCTAATCAGGCTGTGGTTCCTTCTCCAAAGAAATATTTAAAGGGGCTCTTAGTCTGGGTTTACGTTCCGATTTAAGTAACCCATTTCACATCATGTGCTCAAATGCATGTCAAATTGTGAAATAAGCTTTAAGAACAAAATGTTGCACCAATATCTCATTGCTTGAAAAAAAAAATCTAAATGAGCATGCATTTCATTCAGGGCTAGAGAAATATATGGACTCGAAAGCTCAAATTACAAAGTGGTTTTAAGAGTGACTTGGGCAACTGGCTGGTTGTCGCTGGCGCACACAGGACAGGTACCACGACAAAATGCAAATGGCTGCATACCTACTTGCATGCAGTTTCTGATGCCAATTTTTATGCCATGTTGTGTTGCTGGAGTGGCCGGGCAGTTGCTTGCATGCCGTGGAAGAGGCTATGGAGACATTTTCTCCATCAAATAGACTGTGTTGATTTCTAGGCAGTCGCTGCATATGCAGAGACACGCTGAGGGAACAGAGTGCAGACAATATTTTTGTTCTTGTTTCCAGCCAGAGAGAAAAGGTCAATGAACCGGTTATGGCAGTCACAATTGGGATTACCAACCACTAGTGGCGTGCGAATAGTGGAATTGAGTTTGAAGCAAAATTAAAGCGAATAGGGCTTTTGGGAAAATATTTTCTAATAGAATACTGAATAGTTTCTCCGAGCCTTTTGCTGCTGTTGCACCATGCTTAGACGAAAACCCAGTTCAGCTCGTGAACGTTGTTCCCAAGCTTCCACTTCTCCATTTATAAGCTAATTTTAATCTAACCGTATTTGTGGACTGACCTCAAAGGTTGATGCTTTGGGTTGACAAACGACGGACTCGACATAAAATTAAACCTATAGAGATGCTCAGCTAAACCTAATTGAGTGGATTTATAGATCTTGCTATATGCAAATATTCTTTCTTCAATCTTGGATTAAAAAAAAAAAAAAGAATCTTGAATGATAAACGCATGTTGTCATAGCATATCTGCCTCATAGAGCCAGAGTTTAAATATTGAAAATATTACTGCAGTGTAGATACAGTGCAATCCACTTATAGCGATAATGAGAAAACCCAAAAATTCAATCGTTATAACCGATTATTGTTGTATCTGGACCATAAACTGAGCAATTCTAGTCTAGAAACTCTAGAAACTGATCGTTAAAAGCAGTACATTGTTATATCTGGTATAGTTATAAGTAGATTGCACTGTATTAACATTCAAAGTGTCCATAATTTTTTTAAATGCATCAAGCGTATGTGTGCACCATCCCGATTTGAAAGTGTGCTTTTCTGCCTAGTATGCAGTTGCGGTATTTATACTTTTCCAAGTGTTGATCATGGAAGGGTACTCCGTTGTGTGCACTTCTTGCCGAACACCGGTGCACTGCAGAGAAGCAACACCTGCGGAAGCAAGCTTCACGGGTGTTGCTTCTCCGCAGTGCGCCAGTGCTCGGCAAAAAGCACGCTCAACCGGGCTAACCCGATGCAATCAAAACTTGGAAGAATATGAATATCGCAGTTCACCTCGAACTGAATATTGAATAGCGTATTATTCGAAGCTACAATGAGGAATTTTTAATATTCACACAACACTACCAATCTCAAACTGGAATACGGCAAAGACATAACTCTGCCGTATTCCAAAGTCGTAATGCTGTGAATCTGTTGGCCATGTGGGATCATTCAAAGTGGTTTTATTCCCTCTGGTACACACTGTGATGTCAACAGTTTGCCATAATGGTTAGATATGTAGCCATTGACAGGATGAGCATGGCACGGAAGTCCCCCGGTTGTACTCCTTCCAGAGTGAGCTCCCTACCTTCGATAACGCTTAAGAGTCTCATGAGCCTTGAACGTGCTTGATCAGCCAAAGTATGGTGGAAGGCAACAAACATGTGCTGCAGGTCAGGCATTCGAAAGTGACTCGCTGTGCTTCCTGTCAGTGACTGTAATTTCAGCTTCATAAAAGGATGTGTGCTCGATCCTGATGGTACATTTCACTTGCTTCTCAACCCTTCTTGCAGTCGGCCGCCTAAAAGTCTTACTACAAGCCCCGTCATTCGATGAGATGGAGAAGAAGTTCACGCACATCATGCTGGGAGGGAGGTTCAAGCCAAAGGACTGCCTGGCCAGGCATCGGGTGGCCATACTCATACCATACAGGGACCGGGAGGACCACCTCAGGGTTTTCCTCTACAACATGCACCAGATGCTACCTCGGCAGCAGATAGACTATGGCATTTTCGTCATAGAAGAGGTGGGTGTTACGGCAAAGCTTTTTATGTCATTTCCTATGGTGAAGAGGCTAGTGTTACAGCCCTTTCCTTTAATGTGGAATGCGTATTTGGGCTGGTTGGAGCATCATGAAAAGTTGGTACAATAACAGGATAACATGACCAGGTGTCTTTAGTCCATATTCTGTTGCTCTATTTCTTATAAAATCGTTTGGCATGGAAGATTGTGTGTTCGTTAAATTAGGCTTAGGAAGGGTTCACAAAAAGTGTTATAATCATTGAGTATTAGGGTCGTATTTCGAGAAACGAAATTGCTAGCACGGTACATTGCACAATAATGCTCAGGATTAAAGTTTTTTTCCTTCATATCTATAAAAGCTAAGGTTTTCAAACTTTGCCAATGTGTTGCCCTGTATATAGTTCATCTTTGCATGAAATATTGTTGTCCTGGTGAGCGGGAGGAATTTACAAGAATTGCTCACACAGAGGCATCTTACTAAATATGCATTATTTTGAAAATCATTTAAAAAAAAGGCCATCTTTAATATTCTTTAAGTTCTCCGACATTAATGCTTATAATATGTACTAACGGAGTCTGCAAAAACATTATGCAATAATTGTGTGGCTTTGAAGTTATAAAGCGAGAAATATGGCCAAATTGTCGATAAGGCGGTTGCCATAAATGGGGCATGCATATACCCGTTCTTCACAATTTCATTATTAATAAAAAGCGTAAAAATACTATGAAGTGGTCAGGGAAAGACAAATTGACAGCACAGAGGTTGATGGTAGTATTGAAGGGAAAATTTCTAATACGTTTTCATACAACCGACGCAAAATTGTTCATGGGCCGGAGCGATGAAGAGGCGCCACCCTTTAACATGCTTCGCGGTGCCTGGTTCAACAGCCGGCGTGTAGCGTCTCTATCTACACGACGTAAAGGAAGCAACCGGAGCGACTTTACAAACAGATCAGCCACAACTTTGGCTGTAACATTGTAAGAGGTTGGGCGCACCAGAACCTGAACCTGCGCCGCCTGTAAACGCCATTAGATCCACCGCCGTGGAGGGGCGTTTTCAGATAGGATCCAACGACCACGTCCGGTCACATTTTTTAGCTTTACCAAAAGATATATTTCTCTTGTGCTACCGCAAAAACATAATCAAACATTTTTTGCGGAAAATAAAATTTCTCTTCAGTAACAAAAATCATGAAGTTGCTAAAATCACAAAGAGCACTAAAATGGTACAGCTTTTTGTAGAAATTATGTTTTATTTAATAAAAGCAAAAGGAAATAATAGAAAGAACTTAAAAGGCAAACAAGGGCATAGTTAATAGTTTGCTTGCCACATCATTTCAGACCGTCCACTGCGTTGCCACTGTCACTCACTTTTGCTGCCGCTTGACAACGATGGAAAGTCCTCAGTGCCGCCGCTCGAGCTGCTGCCTGCGCTACTTTGTGTATTTCATAGAATATCGCCCTCAGATCTGTCGACGTGGTTTGTGACAGCACTTCTTGAAAGAATGCACCACAACGTCAGCTTGGATCCTCTTCCATGCGTCTGCGATCCTTATTGCGACAGTTGAGGGAGGGCGGCCTTCCCATCGGCCTCTTCTTCCGATTTGGATTCCTGATACATTCCTTGTATTCTTGCCGCAAGTCTTCTTTAAAATGCTTATTTACAAAGACGTCTAGGGGCACTAAGGTCATTTCACCGGGGTGTCAGCCCTTGTGCAGTCCTGCAAACTTCTTGCGGGTTGCGGAACACTTGAAAATCTGTATCCGCTGTTTCGCCAACGGATCACTCGTGCCCTGTCAATGCCAAAGTGCTCGGAGGCTCTGTAGTGCCTCCGATCACAGTTCGCTTAAACTTCAACATATATGAAGTCCAGTTTACGCTTATATTAATTCTCTCTGGAATCTTCTGAATTACACAAACAAAAGAGAAATCGCTCACGCAAAAGCAAAAGTCATGCCTAATCGCGGTTGGCTACTGCTCTGCGCCAATATTGCTAGGCTGTTATCAAGGTGCAGTGTGTAGAACAACTCATTATAAAACTTCGAGGCTAGTTAGAACCAGTGAATATCATGTTTGAGCCAAGCACCAATGTCATGTTTGAGCCAAGCATACTGTCCTGTTTGAGCCAAGTGTACTGTGAAATTATTTCTGTTTGTTACTCATGTACATATTTGTTTTCAGGCGGGGCAAGCGAAATTCAACCGAGCCAAACTGTTCAACGTTGGATACCTAGAGGCATTGGCATTGTACGACTACGACTGCTTCATCTTTCACGATGTGGATCTCATCCCCGAGGATGACCGCAATCTCTACACCTGTCCCGAGCAGCCGAGGCACATGTCTGTGGCCATCGACACTATGCAGTACAGGTGAGCTGCAACACAAACTTTTTGCATAAAGATATGCCACAGGAGCATGTCGTTCCCATTTACGCTTTTGCAGGTTTCTCATCATTGAAAGACCTTGAAATGTCGTCAAATGTATTTTCAGGGACCTTGCTCCTCTGCTCAATTGTCATACTTTATTTTTGTTGTTGTTTTCATGATTTGCTCAACCGTTATTTGCAAGAATTGAGGAAGCGGGGATTTTGGACTCGGATGGTATTTAGCATTATCATCTAATACTTTCTGCCTGACAATCAGGCTTATATTAATAATGGTCGATGAATCCTTTTTAATGTTGAGTCAAAGGTCCAGGGTTATTTTAGTACAGAATGTGTTCTACAGCTGGCTCCTAAAAGTTTCTTTTAATATGCATGAAAATTGATTTGACACAAGTGCTGCATCGGCATTTGGCTGGAACTTGTGTCCTCGCCGATTGAACATGTCTTGCAGCTGAACGCTGTTGCAGCACTTGCGTCCCATCTGCGCTGGCCTTCGGCAGGTGATGCAGAACATCCAGCTCTAATGCCCGTTATCCTAGGTGTTGAGCGAGCATGCTCTCGGAGGGGGGGGGGGGGAGAATGTACGGGTGAGGGGGGAGGGAACAAACACAAGGCTTAAATGGGAGGACGAAAAATAGGGTTAGGGCCAGGTTCTGTGAACTTTTCATTTCACCCCCACCGGAGTGCTAGCTTTGCCAGGACTTGCTTTTTAAGATACTACGCGCGACGTTGCTCGCGACGTCCAGGCACAAAATGCGTATCGAGTTTGTATGCAACGTCGCTGCAAAGAAACGGACAATGGATTCCTTTTTGCCCTTGCCTTTATCATGATAATGTGGGAAAGGGGCAAATATCTTATTGTCCTCCCAACCAGTATTGACAGTATGAGGTCATCAGAAACAAAAAAATTGAAACAATAGTTGGGACAAGCAAAATTTTATGTGCAAAGAAATTTTTTTAGAGCAATATTGACAGCACGAGACGAGATTTAGTTGGTGGTCACCTCGTTTCCACTTGTTTTCTCTCTTGGCATTTCGGGCATGTGGAGGAGAGGTGGATCGGCTTGGCCATCATGTTGAACTGGAAAGAGTGTATGACCATTCCGTGACGTCATAGACTTTGCGCGCAAAATTTAAAATAAATCTTGCGCCGTCAATATTGTTGTAAAAAAACTTTTTCTCGCGTAATGTTAATTTTTTTATTTGCGTGTCCCAATTAGGCTGTTTAAGAAACACTTTTTTTTTTTTTTTCAGGGGCCCTTTAAGACTGGTGTACACACTTGCATTTGGTTGCAGCCGAAAGTGCTGAAGCCAGTTTTTAAGTCTCATACGACTATACGAATGACTGTACTGCTGCACAACCGGTCGTGAGCAGTCACGAAAGACTTAAAAAACCGGTTTTAGCACAGTCGGTTGCAACCAAAAGCAGGTGTGTGAACCTGCCTTCAATCTGCTAGATCTTGGGAAGGAATTATGCAAGCCGGCAGAATTCCTTTGTAATTAGTGGATATATTGTCCGGAGTGGTATGTTTCAACTGCTACGTGGGGAGCAATACTCTAGATTTAATACTTAATGATCCAAGTATCGCTTGATGTGTGTGGGTGTTATCTGAAATAAATGGTTGTAACAATGTTACTGCTAGGAATTGACGCTTTGCAAAGTTCCATGAATTAACATGGGCAGTTGACATTCTTTGTGCATGAAGCTTGTAATTGGATGAGAGTCCATGCCGAACACTGACGCAGTGCTCGTGTCCAACATGTACTGCACCTAGTTTACACTGAACACTGCAGGCGCAGTGGTCCTCTCTAGTACATGCTCGGGCTGCCTGACAGAAGTATGGTGGCCTTGAATAATTGGCGAGGCTGCTACAAGATGACATACACTTTTGAAAGGGTCTGTTAATTCATGCCAGCCACAATCGTGAAAAAGTATAATATGTGTCTGCGTTGCACAACATTGTTAAAGCATACACTACAGCGATGCTTTTGATGCTTTTTCGTGTTTACTTCAAAAAGTTATTGGCAGGCACCAGATTTTACCATATAGGTTTGTGCCCTGAGTGAATGTTTTCCACCACACTAGTTGTTTTGACAAGTCTCAGTTCTAAAAAGAAAACAGAAAAAAACCAGCAACTGCTTGTTTCACTAACTGTCGTGTGCAGTAAGGCCAGTTATATTCAAATTATAAATAGGCTAGAGGTAGAAATAGATATCCATAAACAGTCAAAGGCCTTTATTATAAACGCCTCTACTACGAGAATGCTGTTTAACAAAGTAAAGTCCCGGCCGATCTCCTATGTGTTCAATGTGTATTTTAGACTACTGCAACAAATGTCTTTTTAAACATATATTTCCGTTTACCGAAGCGATTTCACAGTGCACAAAGCATAAATGACCAGAATTATGAATAGAGATATAGAAGAAAAATACTACGGCAGTGACAACAGTTGAAACTGCCGCCGCAGCACTACGTATTCTCGGTTTCGGGTCTAAATAATTTCTTAGTGTGCTACCATGTGTCTAGATGGTGCTACATGACTCTGCGTAGAAGGCCTGTATGCAGCAACATAGTCACATAGTGCTATCTAGGCATAAGGTTGCACACAAACAAATTATTTAGACCCAAAACCGAAAACGTGCATTGCGGCGGCAATGCTGTGCCTCCGTTGCACGCACTCGTGTGTAGTTCTTTTTTTGCTCACGCCACTGAGTATGCACCAATCCGCTCCAGGATAAAAGTTTTTTTCAACGCTCCATCCGGGCAATGCGTGCACGCACCCGGTTCTCTTATTTTGCATGTACGTTGGCACATTCGAAAGGACTTGTGCAAACGAGAGTATATAAAAAAAAATCTTTTCTTGGGCAGTTGCAACTTTTTTATGCTGGCTTGGCATTTGTTCGACCGACGCACCAATCTTCATCGGGATCCAAGGATTCCAATCTTGCTTGATCAGTCCCAAGTTGTTCCGCCCTGGAGCGATAGTATGCAGTCAAGGAAACATGATCTGTGGTTCTACCTGCAATGCCAAAATCTAAGTGAAATCAGTAGAGCCGCACAGAAAGAAACGCGCCTCCCTTTTTGTTTTGGACAGATGTGAAAAAGAGCTCAATCTGCTCGGTTCCATGCCTTTTCCCATCCTCGCTGCTCCACGCACTGCAGCTGTCCCATGCCACGTGCGTGGCGTATTCTGCCATGCTGCCGTGCCCGCTCCTACACCAATTGGCGGCTGCAGAAGCAATTGAGAGCAGCACAGCTACTTTCGGAGCCTCCTCTGAATGACATGAGGCAGTGCAAGCCGCCTACTGATTTAGGAAAAGCCTAACTTACACAGTCAGCAAACATCTTCACTGCGTGTATGGGGGTCGGGCAACGGTGGTTTGTAGTGATTGTTGCAACTTGTATTTGGATAACTCGGTTAAGTTTGTAGTGCGAAGTTCGGACAGCGGGAAATTACTGCAGCAGGGGGGGGCCTGGTGTCCCGGCGGTTGATGAAAAACTTTACCAGTTGTGGTACTGACAGTACAACTGCTAGTCCATTTTCTTTTTAATTTCTTCGGTGGGCAGTGGTGAGTACACAAGCTTGTGCAAATAAAAAAAAAAGTAAGAAAGTGGTAATCGAGCATAAGATACCTGGATTCTGCAGTGCATCGTTTTTCCCCACATGCTCAGAGCTGCAACGTGCTAGCAGACTCGACTACCACTGCCCCTTTTCTTAAGTTAATTGTCAACGTACAAAGCCTAGTGTCTGATGTCAGTCATACTATATTTGGCGCTATACTGTTTCCTGAAACATGTCGGCGCCATGCAGGTACATTGATATGTGGTAGCACAAATTCGGTTTCGTGTGATCGGTATTTCGTGCTCAACTACTACAATGAAGTTAGCTGTACTATGAAAACATTTGCCGGTCCCGCGGAGTTTGTTATAAGGGCGTTTGACTGTACAGAAAAATAATTGACTAAGGATGCTGACTCTTTGTGGATTGGCTTTAAAAATAGCTATAAATGCTTTGAGAACTACCTATATTGCTTTTAATTAAGTCTGTGATCTGCCAACCAAAACTTGGCTTTGGATAAATTATAATATTTAAACTGGTAAAACAGTGCTCCCATATGTATACCAAGTGTAAAAGTGATTCTTATGCCAACCTTGAGCACCATCTAAAGGAACTGGAATAAATAAGAATGTCACAAGTACTGCCATGGAGGACTATTTTTTGGGACTGGCTAGGGCTGTCAACACAACTTCAATACATTCTGGAGTCATGTTCAAAAAGGATCAAAAGAGAAAATGGACATCCTGAGCATAACTCGCTCTGGTAATGTACTAAGCATCAGTATTGCAAAACTTAATTGTTTTGACTACTTGAAGTACAATGTTTAAAAAAATATGAAATTTTGCCGGTTCTTGCAGGTAATGTGGAGAATGTCATGCTTCCCTTCAATGTTACAATAGAGCAAGGGTGCCTAAACCCAGCCCGGGTGGCACAGAAATAAGCACGCATAAAGAAGCAGCTCCTACGTACACAGCAAACTTGCAAATTAAGGTACCAGAAAGAATGAGAGAAAGCTGCGACGCTACGTGGGTCCTCTTTCCATGTTAATCATTGCACATTGTCATCACCAGCAATCACAATCCTTAGTTCCCTGTTCTGTGTCCGTGTAACTATGTTGAAATTCATTTGTGATCTTGTGTTATGCCATAACTACAGCATATTGTCATCAATTCTATACCATTCTGATTGGTCTTCTGCCCTGCATGAATATGCCAATGTTGCCATGATTTATTTTTTGGCGAGTTTTATGGGTTGTAATTTTTGTGCAATACTGTAAAATGTTGTTTTTGCGGGCTCAGAATTTCGCAAATTTGGCGAAGTGTGGTTTTGGGGTATATTTTGTGGGCATGAAAATTCTCAAATTTGGAATGGTATGCTATATATTTATCATTAGAAAACATATTTGTGGCATTTATATTTTGCTTTATTATTGAGGTTGTGAAATTCGAGAATGCTAGGTCCTCGCAAAAATTTACTTCATAGTCATTTACAGTATAATAATTTTCTAAATATTGAATTTTGAAATAAAGTTTATAAATTAATTCATTTTAGAATATTCTGTTTAAATTTTTATTCCAGCTTAGTTTGTGATATTTATAGGCTTAACTAAGTTTTCTGTATTATTTATATTAATTTTGTTTTTATTCTGTGGCCCTCGAGAATGCAACAAATCTCCAATCCGGTCCCTTAGTACTTAGTCCCTTAGTCACAAAGTTGAAGACCCCTGCAGTAGAGGCAATAAAACATGTTTAAACTCCCTAAAGACGCCAGGCAACCAGGTGTTCAAAGTGACCATGCAACAATATTCGGTAAAAATGTTTCTCACTTTAGAACGGACTTTTTTTTTTTTTTGCAAAATTTTATGAAAAGTGGGGGGGATTGTGACAATAGTTGATGAACTAGTTGGTTAAACATCTAAAAAAAAAGTTAGCATGAAAGGCAAGGACAAATAGAAGACCGGGCAGGTCAAGTGCTACTTTTAGCTCATATTTTAATGAAAAGAGTGGAAAAAAAAAAAGAGGAGGTTAAAAAATAATGCTGAAAAGAAAGAAACAATGAAAAATTTGAAAAATAAAATTATCCAAATATAGCTGGAATTTTTATGAAGAGGGTGTTAGAAATGATAAATTGATAGAAAGAATAAATGAAACTACCGAAATGAAAAAAATATAAAAACGACAGAAAAGACGTTAAGGAAAAATATTGCATGTGCGGTAAATCCTTTAATAAGGTTACTGACAAAGCACTGGTGCAAGTATCCCCTCTTGTTGCGATGGCCTGAGCTCCATATATTTTGCATGGTCTCTTATCTTGATGCCACCTTAGAATCCCTGCGTTACTAAACAGTGGGTCGCATCCACAGTCACTTACATGCACGGCAAGATGTCCCAACAGAGAGAGAGCATGCTCCCTTAGCCCAACATTGACACATCATGTGGACTGACCCACATTAACTTTGCCACATGAGAAGGAGAGTTCATAAGCAACTCCACAGCAACAGTTGTCTTGTGCCACATTCGTAATATTTTTCGCACTCCTCCATTCTTTTACTAAAAAGTCATTTGAAAGAGCGCTTGTCTTGCCCAGTCTTCTACTTGTCCTTGTCTTTTGCACTAACTCTTTTTGAGTTTTGGGGATTGCATTGTTGGCATTTTCAACAATGCAATCCCTAGGACATCATCGTTGAGCTTTGTGACGCCCTGCTGACGATATTTAAATGCGGCTCGTACGATGGACACGAGCACTGCATCAGAATTCAATTTGGGCTCGGAACTGTCGATGCCTCGACATGCGTACGAGTTGTGGCTCATGCTTAACTGCTGTGATGAGTGCAATGGCCGAACCTTGACAATGTGTGGAACCCAACGCATGGCTGTGATGACTAAACTCTGTGCGTGGTTATGATAGACATTGGCAGCATATAATCGGCTCCTGATGTTGTGACTCCATGTTCTGGTTGCTAATTAAAGGAGTACTCGTTTTTCTCTAATTTTTTCTGCGACTGCCATTGCACAGAGAATAATGTAACGCATTCCAAAGGTTATGAATGCCAAGGAATAATTCTAAGCAATATTTATTTAAAGTTTATAAAACTTTGTAGCATCGGCAGCTCGTATTGGTTGCCGACTGTACAATATTGTCATATCATGTTACCATATATTGCTGCGTACAAGTCAACCTTTTCAGAAATGGGTATCTCAAAAATGTATATCAAAACAAAAAAATACTTCACAAAAACATTTTTTTTAATGGGTTAGAATTTAGGGGTGTTTATGCTTATATTTGGAGTCGACCATTACGCGTCAATATACAGTAGTCACGCCATAAGGCAGGAATACCTCCCTGCCCCTATAAGACATTTCTCATATTTTCAGTAGACAATTAAGGGGATTTTCTTCCCTTCCCCTGAACTCCCGTCGCTCCCCTCATCTCCTGAACACTTCAGATGCCCCTGCTATGAGACCACCAAAGGACAATGGTTGCACAAAAGTGATATTGTAAAATCCAGGGTATGCAAGTGTGCCCTTGAGCGTAATTTAGAAGTAACTGATTTTCTTGTATCAGGCTGGAACGATTAATTCTTTTTTATCTGATTGGACATGAACATAACATACTTTAGGGTTGCCATGTTCCACCAGAAATGCGTCTGAGGCCACAGATGTGCCCGAGATGCTGCTGTCGCATGCAGCTGCATGAAGAAAGCTTCATTGTGCACTCTAAGCAAGCAAACACCGAAAACAAGAATTTAGGAGTGGTGGCATCTATCTCAGTCGCCTCTATTAAATGTGACAGCACTTCTTAGCAAACTCGACGCACTTTTGCGACTGCGACTTGGTATCTAAGGAAGGAAGCAAGGTGCATGCATTTGTTATATACCTACTGCAATTATGCATACAGGGGATAATGCACCCACAATCGTATATTAGCTTCTGAACAGCAAATACAGTTACCAAGAGTCTTATATTTATATTATGTTTAGTATATTCATACATATTATGTTTATACCAATATGATAAGAGTGCGCAAGTTGAATTGCAGTAATGCTACAACAAAAGTCATTGGTTGGTTCGTGGGAAGTCCGTCCGTGGGAAGTAGATAGTTACATATATCTCACAAATATGTGGATTGTTTTAAATGGGATTAAAAACTTCATAGATGTCGACGAAAATTATTACTAAAATTTCCACTGCAATTCTTAAGCAGTTTAAAAAAAATATTTTTTAACATAGTACAAGACGAAGCAAAATACTATCTCATTTCAACAACAGTTTGCACAGCAATGTTGGCAACAATTTTTTATTATAGGGAAATGTCCTCTACCCTAATGCATGACCAATGTGTTGATACTTTTAAAAACAGATGTGGAAATCTGGTTGACAAGGTTGTTTTTTTTAGATTGTTTGGTTTCTTGTATGTGTCTTAGAGTCTTAAGAGGTTCCAGATCGAACCGTGATCATGGTCAAGCACACCACTGCCTCAGATCCCAAGACTGAAAATCTTGAAATCCATCATATATTTGGTTATGCTTCTGATAAATATTTTGGGATGCACTAGTGCAATGTGTATCCACATACACTGGCTCACTCAAACTCTTTCTGTTTTAATATTAAGTGATTCATCGTTTCAGAGGTGCGGACTGTTGATATACAAGTGGGGGAGTAAAATGTGAAGCATGGGGGGGGAACAAGCATACATTTGCCTTGTCCTTTTGTGTTACATTTGTTTTTCTCAGTTTGCAGCTTGTAATTGTTTTATGTTTCCTGTATCATGTGAACATTGTACAGAGTGTTTCAATGGATTTTAAAGTGCACCATGACTCTCTTGACATAGTAATGTGGAGCTCATGTTTCTGTTATACGCTTTGCTCTTGCAGGCTTCCCTATGTCGGGATATTTGGAGGAGTTAGTGCCCTGAACAAAAAACACATGAAACTTGTGAATGGCTTCTCTAATCAATATTGGGGATGGGGCGGTGAAGATGACGACATGTCTTACAGGTGAGTGTGCGATTTTTTTCCTTTTGTTGCTAGCGGTACCTGGCTTTTTCGTTCCTTTTACTGCTCACTAGGCTGCTGTTTATGGCTGTCAAGGAGCTAAAAAAGAGGAAACTCTCAATTTCTTCTTTTCGTCCGAGAAAGAGGGAGTCCCTCGTCCTTTCTGCGGGGAGTAGCTCAGAAACCTGCTTTTATAAGAGAGGAAGGAAGAGAGAAGAGTGCAACAGGGAATGGAGAGAAGGAAATGGGGAACCGGTTTTCTTCCCGGCAGAAGGCGATTCTGTAGGTCGGCCTTAAGGGCTCTATTTAAATAATATTGGCCTCGAGATCGACCTAGAGGTGGCGGTACTGTCGCGCCATCATCATCATTAAAATGGAGTTAGAAGCATGGCCGCCCCGTAGGCTCTCCACGTTCGCGCCCTAGACGTAGGCTGACCATATTTCTCAAGGTAGAAAACGGGACATCCCAGCCCGGAGGGGGGGGGGGGGGGGGGGGGGGGAGTGAGTGAGTGAGTGAGTGAGTGAGTGAGTGAGTGAGTGAGTGAGTGAGTTAGGGGGAGAAAGAAGGAGGAGAAGGGGAGAGAGAGAGAAAGAGGAGGGGAGGGAAGGGAGGGGATGGGTATAGTAAAGGTTGAGATAGGGAGAACAAATTTAATGCCAGATTTGCGATTTCAAAGCGTTAACATATTTCATGCGTGCTGTATTCATTAACTAAAAAAAAAATATATATTTCTATTCACGAGTCTTAACAAGAATACGTGTTTGTGGACAAGAACAGTTCTCCGAATTTTACTGGGTAAATTTTTAAAGTACCTACTTTTTTTTTTTTTTTGTAAAATATATTTGTAACAAGTGGGCATAGTTTCCGCTTGCTTCAACTTGCTTTGTGCCAAGTTCGAAATTATGCACTCCTGCGAAAACGGGACATGATTCCTTATTGGGACAAAAAGACGGGACGGCCTAAACGGACCTCAAAAGCGGGACTGTCCCGGCCAAAACGGGACGTCTGGTCACCCTACCTAGACGGTTCCTTTATTTCGTCGCATAGTACCGGTGGGCAAACAATTTTAATGGAAAATGGTGCGGTACTATTCGGTGCTTCAGTGATGATCGAATTGTGTTATCAGGTTATCAGTGTACGTCCTAAATTTAAATAATCGCTTGTGTGAATGCGTTGCCTGCTCTAAGCAGACGTTAGGAGACATGGATTTACGGGTGAACTGCTCTATTTATGTTAAATATTTGTTTCTTTTAAAATATATATTGGTTTACCAGTGACAAAACGCAACATAACAAAGCATTCCAACCCGGATACTTACATACTACTGGTACTCTGGGTTGTGTAACTGCAGGTTCTATGGCTTTTTGTTTTTTTTGGTACCTTTTAGTTTTTGCAGTAATATAAACTGCATTCAGAGAAGTGAGGGCTGTAAATTATTGTGCTATTGAGTTCCGCTGCAGCAAATTTTCCCCTTTACTGTGCCACGGTGTGGGTAAGGTTTTTTGGAGTCTGAACAATTTGACTATGTTGCGATGATGAGAGAGTGCCTCTTCTAGTTGCAATCCGCAAACTGCACGTTGGCAGGACAACAAGAGAAACAAACTGTTCGAATATATCTGCCGTGAGTGTAACAGATGAGAGTAGCTGAGCAACGCAGCAGGGTGTGTGTTATTAGATGCTCCTCTCGGTAGCTTGGGTTCACCTGCTTCAATTTTGTTGGGGAGGGCCGCGGATGTCAGGAGGCTAATATTATACATTTCTGGCTGAATGATCTTCTATTTAACCGCAGTAGACTCTGCAGCTCCAACAAATGACCCGCACCCCAAAACAGACAGCATCGGCCGCAGAGACACTATTTTAATGATAAGGGCTAGCCACTCTCACGAGACTTTCCAATGACCCCTAACCTAATGCATATCGAGACCTTCAGATTATTCGAGTGACGCTTTAGTTGCGATAATTTTTTTGCCGATTAATTGGAATGTTGTGCTGTAGAAAGTCACGGGGGAAAGAAGTGAAAAAAAATGCCCGCTTTAATATTTCTGGCGTCTTTATTTTTTTAGGACACAGGCTTGCACGGTAAACCACTTCGGCATGCTTGTGATTGTCACTGAGGGGGAGTATACTGTTTAAAGAATTACGAAAAAATTACTCCACTTTAAAAGGCTTCTCGTGTTCATATTTCTGTGGATGTCGCAACCCAAAGTTTAAAATGTGAGTGCAATAGGCCATTTATGACATAGTGAATATACAGTCTAAGCTCATTACAACAGACCTGGTTACAACAGACATTTGGATATAACATACCGATTTGTGAAGTTCGGTTGGTTTTCCTCCATGTACCATTGACTCAACTTCATATCTGCATACAGCATACTCCTTTTACAACAGACCGCAATCTTGGTAAAAATCAAGGTCTGTTATAACGAGCTTAGACTGTAGTAAAAAAAAATCGTAGTTTTGACATCTTTCATGCAATGTGACTCGAGAAAAATCGACTAATGGATGCATAGATTAATTAGTCTGTTGAAGTCATTCATATTAATTTTTTAATCAATTCACAGCTCTAATCAACATTAAATGTTTTATCAAAACTACGGATTGTGCGAGATAACAGAAAACACTAAGATTGTTGAAGCATCCGACTTAAACTAATCGCTTTGCTGAATTTCCAAGCGTGTGAAACAATACAACACAACCTTTAGTAAGAGGAAATTGCAAGCATTTCTTGAGGAGGGCCCAGCTCAACCAGAAACGGGCTTGCGTCGTCGAGATCCATGCTTCTAAATGTGCGCCCGTAGCAGACGACGCGCGGCAGTATCCCTGTTTTTGCATGTTTCCGATTTCGGCCGCTTGGTGGCGACACAGTTTGATCTCGAGGCGAATCCTTAGTATTGAATTGCTTTTTTTGGTATATTGTTAGCTTTTCTGACGCTGTGGCACAGGTGCAAAACTTTACATACACAGTAAACACAAAAAACCTTCTTTAACATTTCACAATCACTGTGCATAGAAACAGAACACAACAAATAGGACAAACATTAAAAGTCGAAAGATAGTCAATCTTTAAATTGAGTTTGTTTATAGTACTGCTGTAAAATCCCGAACAAACTGCCACCCTGAAATATTGCCCCCACAGTTTATCGAACTAAATACAGTCGAATCTCATTATAACGAACTAGCATCGTGAGCAAACATTTGTTCGCTATATGCGATATTCGTTATAAAAGTGAACACTAATCAATGTGAACGTACCCGCAATCGAGCCCGTGCAAGAATGTGCTCAGCACTGCAATATAAAAACATTCTATCGCAAACCTCGTGATCCTTAACTGTTACTGAGCAGCATTCACAGAATAGATCGGAACATCACAATATTAATTTGCAACACGAGAAACGACAATAGCATGATCTAGGATTTAATGTATTTGAAAAAAGACGTGATTTTAGGCTGGTGCCTCTTCTCAGCACTTTGATGAAGTTCTTCACAGTGGCCATACACGAGAGTGGCTTCTCTACTTCAGCAGTTTTGGCAGTGGGAAACTTCTCCAAATAATTGTGCAGCTTCCGTATTATGTCTGCATCGTCTGCGTTAATTGCCGGCGGCTCTTTAGTGTTGTCTTCGCTCTAGTCATCATCGCTGTCGCTGCTGCTGTCATTGCCAGGCAACACGACACGATTCACAATTTCTTGATCGGTAAGTTTGGGCGCCACAACTAAGTTGTCGTCGGCAGAAACTAAATCTTCAAATGAGACGTTCGGCAGTGTCAACCGATGCCAGGTAGCTACATCAAGTCGCTCTGTCAGGTGTTCAGGTTGAACTTCATCGGCAAGTAGAACGAAGCCTGCATCCACAAAATAGTTTGTTATTATCGACTGTCTCACGTCGTTCCATGACCTGTACAACATTTCCAGCGTCGTCTTCATGTTGATGGCTGTTGATCTCCGCTGTTTGATGTCAAAGACTAGCTGCGTCACCATGCACTTTCAATAAAAGCGCTTCAGAAACCGGATGATCCCTTCATCCAGGGTCTGGAGAACAGAAGTTGTGTTCGGTGGCAGGAACATCTAGCAGACTGCCTTCACTGGGGTCACCATGGCCATGAGAACAGGGCCTCTTCAACGTCCGGGCAGAGGCAAGGCCTAAGATACTTCGGTCAATTTTGATGGTGTTGTTGGCATAGCAGTCTTCAATCTTCTTCCTTGCTCTCAGCATGGTAGATATTGTGCTTGGTGCAAGCTCAAAGTCCACAGCGATGTCTGTTTTCTTCCGACCACTGTTTACCGCTCTCAAAACCTTCACTTATGTCTCCAGAGAGAGAGCTTTCCGCTTTGTTGCCATTTGCAGCTCTGCTACGAGTGGCGTGGTTGGCGATTGGCTTTAGTCTGCACTGGTTCTTGATGCCGCACATAAAGGATAGCAGCAGCGCCCCCGCCGTTATCTTCTCGGTTCATAGGTGGTGCTACCTCCCGAAACATGCATTTTGCACAACTAAACTTATGGAATTTTTCGTTTTGAAATTACTCTTTGTATTTCTTTCTGCTTTTTAAAAACTTTCATGGTATTTTGTGTAGCAAGAAAAGGGGGAATAACTTCACTATAAGCGGTAGCACGTCGGATCTTTACGGTTTGGTTTTCATTATATACGGTAACTAGAACTCCCATTCAAATAAAGTACGACCAACAAAACTTCGTGATTAGTTTGCTATATCCGATAATTCGCTATACAGTCAAACCTCGATGTAACGAACTTCTATGTAACGAAACCCTCGATGTAACGAAGTGCATAACTTTTTCTAACCGCAAGTGTGTGCACGCCATGTATTTTTGACCTCTATATATTGAAGTCCCAATTGTGGAAATTTTGATGTAACAAAGTTTCATGGACAATTTGTCACAAACTTTTGGGTCCCAAAGGAGATTTTGGAAAGCACATGCGCTGAAATGGGCCCCCGATAAAGCTCAAAGGGTGTAACGGGCCGAACCTGGCGAGTGTGGTGT